GTCAAGTTGCCCGGGCTTTCATCGCCATACGAATTTCCGGATGAACATTATTTTTCCAAATAATAAGGGGGGGCGTGTGCGTTTATGCGCCTGTCCCAGCACGCGGCGGTAGGGCCGGCTTTCGATGTCGTCGAATCGCGACGGCTGCTTCGACCGCCGGCCCGCCTTTGAGATCTTTTGGTGTGCCTTCTCGGCGGCAGCGCTCGTCTCCTTTGCGCGCTGCCCGGGGCGCGAAGCGGGCACCCTCTTGATGCGCGAGGAGGGGCCGCCCTGTTGTCGACGGACGGAGCTGAACCCCATCCGCGATGGCTGGCCCCGCACGGGCAGGTGCGCAGCCGCTGCAGAATGAATTGACCGGAGCAGCTCCTCGTCGGCCGCGCGCGGCGCGCTGAGCATCGCGACGCGCTTCTGGAGGACGAGCGGGCCGCGCGTACGCAGCAGGAGCGCCTGCGACGGCTGCCGTGAATACTCGTTGAGCAGGGCGAGCTGCGACATAGCACGATTTTGCGGGCGATTTTGGGCGTTCGGATCAGGGACAGCAGAGTTCGTTTTCTTTGTTCGAGCCTGTCTGCTGTGAGAGAGAGTTGTTTTGTTTTTCTTTGTTCTCTCGAGGTTCTCGAGGTTTTAGGTATGTTGTTGGCAAATCAAGAGACAGAGCTCACACAGAATCACAGCGGGAGGAAAGCGGCGAGTCGCAATTCCAGGGGTCGTTGTGGCGGGCCACCCTGTCCAGAGAGGCATGGATGCCAATCTGGGGTCTCTCGACCGAGTCTATGAAGCCCTGGCCGCCTCCCGGTGGTGGCAGAGGTTATGGAACCAAGCGACGGAGATGGTGCGGGGGTACGGGTGTTCCAGGGGGTCACGACACGCACCGACCCTTCACGAACCGAAAGGCTGCACCCGGGGAAGGCACAGTAATCCGAGGCGTGTTTTCTGACGGCCGACCGTCAGTGCACGGAGTTGCCCCTTCTCCGACTGCCCCGGCTAGTTCACGGGTTTCGCGGGAGTGACCCCATGCGTCAAACCCGAGACCTAGCGCGGGTGGGTTGGAGGGGGCTCGCCCCGTTCCTCCCCATCGGGCCGCGTGAGCGGCCTCGCCTCGCAGATTCGTTTCTCGCGCGCCTGGGTCAGGCGCGCGGGGCATCCCCCGGGTCGCTCGACCAGCGATCCGAAGAGTGGCCGCTATGCGAGGGAAAGAGCGGGGCCCACGGGGTACGCCTCCGTCCGGCCCCCTCCGAGGGGGGAAGGGAATTGTGGGGTCCCCACGGGCGCCTCAGTTCGGCCCTCCCGAGGGGGGGGAGGGGAGCAAGGGGGTGGGGGGATCGGGGCGGGGGGGGAGGGGTCTCGGTTTCATGGGTCTAATGCTTGCCTTTCGGGGAGGGGCCTCGGTTGGAAGGCGCGCATGCAGCCCTACGTCTTCCCCTCCTCCCCAGAGGCAGCGAGTAGGCAGCGAGGGGAGCTCTCGAGCGCCTGCGCGTATGGCGATGTGAGTGGGCAGTCGGGAGGGTAGGAGGGTGGACGGGTGGGCGGGCAGGGCGGGCGGGCGGGCGGGGTGGGGGAATCGCGTATCTAGCGTTGGCAGAGCAGCAGCAGCAGCAGCAGCAGCAGCAGCAGCAGCAGCCAGCAACAGAGAAAAACGCGCGTCGCGCTCAAGTGCCGCCGCAGCAGATCGCGGTGACATGGCGCCGAAGAAGGGCGGCAAAGCGCCGCCGCGTGTGCAGTACTTCAACGCGATCCGTGACCAGAAGCTCGACACGCTGCGCTGGTGCCTGCGGCACGGCGGCGTGACGACGCGCACTGAGGACGAGGACGGGCACACGGGGCTGCAGATCGCGGCGGCAGCGGGGCTGAGCGAGGCGCTCGATACGATCCTGGACAGCATCCTCAAGGTTGGCACCAAGGACGAGGTCGAGGAGGCCGATGACGAGGGCCGCACGCCGCTGATGATGGCGGCTCACAATGGCAAGCTAGCGTGCGTCAAGCTGCTCGTCGTCAAGGGCCGCGCGCCGCTGGGCACCAAGTGCGAGAAGGGCAAGACGGCGGCGGAGTACGCCGCGGCGCGCAAGCACGACAAGGTCGCCGCCTTCCTGAGGGACCCAAAGGGCCACGCCGAGTCGTCGGACGAGTCGGAGGAGGAGGGCGAGGCGGAGAGGCAAACGGCGCGCGTCTTCAAGGCGTCGCAGAAGCTGGCGTCGGCGGTCAACGAGCAAGAGGAGGTTCACCGCAAAAAGGTGCAGGCGGCGGAGGCTCTGCAAGCGGCGCTCGCCGAGGCGCCGGAGCCCGTGTGGGGCGAGGTCAAGGCCGTGCTGTCCGAGACGAGGCGCGAGCTGTCGCTGCGCGGCAAGGAGCCGCTGCCTGGCGTGTCGACGGTCGACCCGGCGCTATGGAACTGCGTCTGCCTGCAGGAGCTGCGGCTGGAGATGGCGGCGGGCGCGCTCACCTCGCTCCCGCCTCGGCTCGGCCAGCTCTCCCACCTGACGACGCTCATCGTCTCTAACAACGCGCTGACGGCGCTCCCCGACGTGTTCGCGTCGCTGCCGAGGCTGCGCAACCTCGAGGCAGCGAAGAACGAGCTGCGCGAGCTGCCGGCCTCGCTCTCGTCGCTCTCGCAGCTACAGGTTGTCGACGTGTCGCACAACCAGATCTCTTCCGCCGCGCCGCTCGCGCCGCTGGTGGGACTGGTCGCCGTGCAACTGGGCGACAACGCGCTGGAGTCGCTCCCGGAGTGGAGGTACGAGGAGATGGAGCACCTCTCCACCCTCGCCGCGCCAGCCAACCGCATCTCGCGCCTCCCGCCCGGCATCGGCTCTCTCCCGATGCTCGCCGCGCTCGACCTCTCCGGCAACCAGGTGCGCCAGGTGCCGATCGAGCTCGGCTCGCTCTCGCCGAAGAAGCTGCAGACTGTCCGCCTCGCAGGCAACCCGCTCGCGGACCCGCGCATACGCCGCTTCGTCGAGACCGACGCCCCCACCCTCGTGAAGGACCTCCTCAACCACGTGGCCAAGAACGGCCACAAGGAGGAGGCCGCCGCCGCCGCCGGCGGCAAAAAGGGCAAAAAGGGAAAGGGCAAGGCGGCGGCGCCGCCACCCTCGGACGACGACGACGACGAGCCCGAGGGCTCAGTCGCCGACCTCCTCGCGGCGCTCAACGCGAGCTCGGGCTCTGAGAGCGAGGGCGAGGCGCCCGCGCCCGCGCCCGCACCGGCGCCGTCTGGCGGCAAGAAGAAGAAGAAGAAGTGAGCATAATTTTGCTAGCAGGACCAAGGCCTTACCCCTCTCCGATGGTGTGCGTGTATGGGGAAGGAGAGCGGACTCATCCTCGCTCGTCCTGTCTGTTCCGCTGCTCTAACTAAAGTAACCCGGCTGTCCCGCAATTCGCTCAAACCTCAGTCATCAATGGGGCTCAGACGTACGGTACGGCTTTAGAGCGCGGCCGCACAAGGCACATTGGTCATTGCTCAGTACCACCCCTGCACTTCTAAGCCCGTCCCTGCTGCTGGGGGGAGGGGGGGGGGGGGGGTCCCGACCCCCCCAGCAGCGCTGCTGCTGGGGGGGGGGGGGGGTCCGACCCCCCCACAACAAAACGCACTGCCACTGGACCCAGCTTCCGCCTCCCGGCGGCCCCCCTTCCGGCCCCTTAGATTGGGTTTGAACGGGAACCCCCCCAAGGGGTTTGGTTCCCCCCGCCTTCGAGCCCAATACACCTTCGTCGTGTCGAGTGCTGGCGTTTTACTAAAGACTTGTGACCATGGTGAGTCTATCTTGTACTACCACACACATAGGCGCGTATAGTGAGCCACTCACTCGGGCGTCTCGCTGACGTTGATCGATCAGCGCTGATCTCCCTAGCCTATCGCCCACCCGCTCGATCCTCGGATCGCTCGCTTGTCGCAAATCGATCGACTGAGCTGTCATCCCCGCCGCCTTTTCTTTTTTCGAAAACGCGCGCCCGTCGCGGCAAAACTGTCAGGTCCGCCGCGACGCGTCGCCGCAATGGCGGGCAGAGGCGCCGCGAGGCACGAGAGGCGTAGAAGAGAGGCTGGCGTGCCCCGCACCGCCCGGTTGGCTGTAGGAGGCCCCGCCGGTGAGACCACTGATTTTGATGCCGACCATAAATTCTCGCGACTCGAACGCATGCTACTTACAGCTGCTGTCTGTACAGAGATGCCAGCACCCCCCACAGGCAGAGCGCTGCTGGGGGGGGGGGGGGGGGGGGTCCCCACCCCCCCAACAACAAAACGCTTCTTCTGGGGGGGGGGGGGGGGGGGGCCCCCCCTGGCTTTAGGGGGCCGGGGGGGGACCCAAAAAAGGGGGGCCCCCCCTTTTCCGGAAAAAAATTTTTTCCCTTTTCCCACCCGGCCCCTTTTGAAAAGGGGAATTTTCCCCAAGGGGTTAGGCGCCGGGCCCTCCTGCTCGGCTCCAGCGAGTAGACAAGTGTTACCATCAACAGAGGAGAAGGATCTGACCTCACAGGGCCAATGTGGCCAAGCGCTGGTACGGGGTGTGGACCCTGAGTTGACCACGGGTTGTGCGCTGGGCCCTCCTGCTCGGCTTTAGCCAGTAGACAAGTCTTGTCATCAACAGAGTAGAAGGATCTGACCTCGGGGCTGATGTGACCAAGCGCTGGTAGCGTGGTTTCACCTCACACCCATGGTCTCACAGTGTGCCGGCAGTCGCCGAGCAGTGTCGCTCACACAAGCCGCAGCACAAGTGACTGAGGGCCAGTGAGGGCGAGCCCATCGCTGTGACAGCTGTGGCAGCCGCACAGTAGGCTGTGTCAACTGTGCAGAGTGTGTGAGCAGCAGAGGAGCTGCTCTCCAGGCTTCTGTCGCAAAGAGCTGCATGCCACCGAAAGCGCTGTCGAGGTTCGCCGAGCGCGGCGCAGGTTGGAGGACGCCGTCACCGACGAGCGCGTTGGACTTTTCACTCCGGACAAAGACGGGTACACGCACACGAGCCGCGGTCGTATACCCGTCTTAGCGGCGAGGCGCGGGACCGTCTGTGGCGAAGGGGGTCGCGTCCTCCGATTTCCTCAACTCACGGTCCGCTCCCTCTAGCGTGAATAGTAGCCCGAGGCTCGAGCCCCGCTCTACCAACTTTCGTCGAATTTGGCCTTTCGCCGGGCCACCGCAACTTTCGAAAGTCTGGGACAGGGCAACTAACGTGCGCACAGGGACATCGGCGCCACCTACATCCCGGCGCGGCGCGCGCACGCTCGGGCGCGCGAGGTATCGCCAAACACGTCCTACGGCTGGACTACAGGCTGCTGGCGCGGCTCGGCGGGGCGCCGCCGCACGAGGCGCGCCACCGCTATGCGGCGGCGGAGGAGCTCCCACCGCCGCTGGAGCGGCCCCGCGTCGCACGGCACCGCTCCCATGCTGCTCAGAACGAGGCGGCGGCTCACCGTGCGGTGCTCCGGAGCCGGGTAGAGCGGCACCGCCACCGTGTCAAAGAGCTTGTACGGCGGCTGCAGCAGCACCTGCGGCGTCTGCTGGAAAAAGTTGCGGAACGGAACGCCGCCGCAGGTAGGGTCCTGCTCGTGGACCATGGCGATCGCGATGCGCCGGTCCATCGCCGCTTGCACGAGGCGCGCGACGGCGCCGCCGGCGTCCAGGAAGGTCTTATCGTTCAGGTAGAGCAGAAACACTACGTGCCCGGAGAGCGGGGCCGCGTTGACTCCCTCGAGCGCCTCCTCCGCATCGCGGATCGCGACCGCCTCGGCGCTGGCGGTAGAACCGCGCCCCTCCCTCGCCGCCGTCTCGAGGTCACTTGCAATGCCGACGGCGCCCTCGTTGTCGCGGCACACGAGGATGGTGACGGGGCCGCTGAAGGCACAGGGCCCCGGCTGGCGAGGGACCATCACTCCTCCAGCGAGCTCGGCCGGGCGGCTCGCGTAGTAAGGAGAGTGCAGCAACATGCGCAGCGCGACAGCCTTGAGCGACTCGAGCTGAAAAGCGTTCACCCGCACCCACACAATCGGCATCGTCGCCTCAAACACGCGCGCGAGCATCTCGCCTGGCCCGCTGTAGGACGGGTAGGCCGGCGGGGCGGTCTCGACGCAGTGCTCGCGGCACTCTGCCTTCAGCGCCTCGATCGAGGCGCCGCCCTTGTCGACGTCAGCCTCCTGGATCGGGATGAAGGGCCGGTTCGAGCCTAGCGCAGCGTACAGCTCGCGGCGACAGTTGAAGCTCTTGAAGTAGCCCGCGCTGCCGCCTCGCCGATCTCGTCCATCAGTGCTTCCCACGAGCGCCCGTCCTCGTGCCCGCCCTGAACAGCGCGCGGGCTGTTCGTCACGAGCTTGCGCGGCGCGGATACTAGCACGCGCGAGCGAGCGCGCACCGGGTGGTTGGCGGGCGCGCTGTCCGACGATACGATGGCTGCAAACGAGCTGGTGTCGTTGCCGCCAACCTCGCAGAAGCCGTTGGGCGATGCCGGCGTGAACGGCTTTGCGACGGCTGCGGGAGGCGATGTCGGCCACGGGGAGTCGTACCGCTGCGAGGAGAGAAGCGCGGAAGTGGCAGAGTGCGAGGAGTGCGCAAACGCGGCTCCGAGGCAGATCAGCGCGAGGATGGCAAAGAGCCGGAGCAAGTTGTAGGACGGGCAGAGCTTGGGCCACGAGAACCGGCCGGAGGCAGAGACGGAGCTGTCCAGCGTGGGAACTGTGGTCGTCTCGACCATGCCCTGAACAGGAGGGCGCGAGACTGGCCGTGTGCGCGGCAAACGGGGGCCGAGGCCGCATTTGTGTGCAGGCGGCGCGCACCGAGTCCGTGGTCGGCGGCGTGGAGCCGCGTGGCGGCCGCGCCTTGTGGGCCACCTTGCCGCCGCCACCGACGTCCTCGTCGCCGTTCGTTCCGAGCAGGGCCCCGAACCGGTTCTTGCCGCCGACCCGGGAGACGTTCTCGACGCGGCCGACCCGGGCGGACGAGCCCTTGCGCGCCTTCTTGCGGCGCAGTTTCGACGGGTTGGTCCAGCCGGAGATGCCCTGCGCACGCGCAAGCGGTGGGTGCGTCAATAGTTCTGCGCGTGCACCGAAGCGTGCGAGACGATCGGCGCCGTGGCGAGCTTCACCCCCGGAGACTCCTTGGCCGAGACGGTCCGGTCGGCGTCGCCCTACGCAATGAAAGAGGTGTGGGGTCAAGGGGTGGGTCGGCAGACGCACGGCGCAGAATGCGAGGTGCGCGCCGCCGGGAACTCCTTCATCGACGGCAGCGGCGCGTCGCCGGCCGCCGCCGGCTCGAGAGCCGGATCTTCTTTGGTGACGCCGCTGGGGGCCGTCGGTGGGTCGATTGGGGTGGTGCTCTTGGAGCAGTCGACCAGGTTGGGCTCGCCCTTGCCGGTCTTCCACTCGTCGATGCCCTGCGCATGTGCGAGAGGCAAAGGGCCGATAGGAGAACCGCCCGTGGGACTCCCGCTACACCCGTGAGGTGTGTGCACGCGCTGAGAGAAACTCACCGCCGTGGCGAGCCTCTCCTCTGGAGACTCCTTGGCCTCACCCTCGCGCCCGTTGTTGCGGCGCGGGTTCGACGGGGTCGTCCAGTCGGCGAAAGCGCTCGGCTCGTGGGCGGCAGACACGGCCTTGGCAGAGTCGAACGCGGTCAGGTCCTTCTTAAGGACCTCCTTGAGGGAGGCCTCCGCGCCAGACTCTGCCACGGGGATGTCCTTCGCGAGGGCTACCTTGGTGCCGCACGCCTGTGGCCGAGGGAGCTACGCAGGTTGTTTGGAGGCTTGGAGGTCGCACGGATTATGTTGATCCGGGCGTGCGCACGCACCTCGTCTTCGAGGAGCACGGGAGCCATCGGCGCAGACTCGCCCTCGGACGCGACGGGCGTCCCGCCGCCGTCGCCGATGACGTCCTTGAGCAACGCGGGCCCGCTCTCGGACGAGATGCCGTCGGCCTTGCCTCCGGCAGCGTCGACGGACGAGAGCGGCGACGGATCGGCGATGGTGTACGTGAGGCGCCGTGAGGCCTCGGCGCAGGAGTCGAGCGAAGCGCGTGCCGACGACGCAAACACGACGCCGACGTCCTCAAGCGAAGCGGGCTGCTTGCTCTCGGACTGGAGCGAAACGGGCTCGCCCTTGGGCTGGATGCCGTCCTCGAGCGAAACGGGCTCGCCCTTGGGCTGGATGCTGGCGGCCTTGGCTCCGACAGCGGTCGTGTTGCCCGCCAGCGACGCCTGTGACAGCCAGAGGGCGAGAGGATAAGTCTTGAAGGTCTCGTGGGAGCGCAGTTTCACTGCGCGCAAACACGCGCCTGCTTGTCGGCACGCGGCGGCGGCGGAGGTGGAGAGATCTTGATAGCGAGCCGATTACCGTCGGCCGGCACGAACTCGAGTTTGAGCTTGTCGAGCATAGGCGGTCGAATGAGTTCCTATGGAGGAAAGTAAGACGGGAAGTGAGGAACGAGTCTATGGCATCACGGCCATGTGAACGAGGGTCAAAAAACACTGTGGAGATGATTGGGGGTATATTGGTACATGGACATGGGGTGTGTATGAGGCTGTGCACAAGGTGCTGCTCAAGGGCATGCTGAATGGGAAGACAGAGCGAGCCGGAGAGAGGAGAGCCGCGCCTACGGGCAACACGTCGCGGCGTGAGCGTCGAGCTCTCGCGTCCTCGGCGCGCGGACTGGAGCAAGCGAGAGCGGGTCGCTCTCTTGCCAGAAGAGAGGGAGGGCGGTCGCGCGGGACAAGGGTGGGGAATGGGCAGCAGCGGACGCGTCTCGCGACCTCCTCGATGGCAGCGGCTGTACCTGCGAGCGGGAGTAGGCAGGCGGTGCGAGGCCGAGGGGGGTCAGCCGCTCGCGCGGCGAACGAGGGCGCATCGCGCGGTGGGGGTGGTGAGGAGGTGCGGCGGATATCGTGAGCAATAGGCGTCGCGGGGGTCTAGGCGTGCAGCTCGCGGCGGCATAGTCGGGCGCAATGCGGCGCGGCACGCGCGAGCGGACGAGGAGAGTGCCATGATTGCCTGACTGACGACACAGAAGAGTGGTGAATCTTCGAGTCACCGTTCACAGTTGTGGCTGTGAATTGACCCTTTGTTGTTGCTGTACCCTGTGTCCCTTGCAAGCCAGGAAAAGAACTATACTGGAAAAGAATTGAAAAACTACAGGCCGAGGGCCCAACTTGAAGAATCGTGTGCTTTTTGTGAGTTTGTTTCGTGTTAGGTTGGGTTGTGCTTGGGGTGAGGTTGTTCCGAGTGAGGTTGGTATCCGAGGAGGCCACCGGCCAAAAGCGCATGTCTTGAAGGTCCGATACTGGAAGCCCATATAGGCACCTTACACTCCCCCGGCCCCGCAGTATCGCACCTCTTGAGCGACACTACGTTTCCGCAGCTGGGGATTCTCCGGCGTCCGGGTACCCCTCTTTGTACCCGTGGCCCTGAGTTATGTGTACGCCAACTCAGGGTGTGTGGCAGCCAGCTGGCCGTATGTCTTGTGAGCTTGTTTGTGTCTGTGTGTCGCTCGTGCGTGTCGTCATCATCTGTCCAGCGTCCACCCATACCGCGTTGGTGTCCAGTCCGAGCCTGGCTGTTCTTCACCTTCCTAACTAACTAAGGCTCTAACTAAAGGAACTTTCTTGTGGACAACAAGAATCCCTGCACAAAGATCGGAGACCTGTTCCTTTTTACCCGTCTCACAGTAGTGAATTGTCGGTTTTTATTTATCATTTAAGAATGTTACTAGAACAAAAGGCGGTCGCACAGCACGACGATTCGCGCGACAGGCAAAGAAACGACGACGAAACGGGCCCAAGCCCAGTCCAGCGCCTCGACCCCCGCCCCCACAGCTAACGACAAAACCCCCCGATCCCCGCGTTCGGTGTTGACAGCACAGGGCCACACACCCTCGCCCACATAACTCACAAGCACCAGGCTAACGCTCTGCGCCGCCCTGGCGCCGCCAGGCGAGCGGTCACAGCGAATGAATGAGACGCGAAGCCTCGTTGTTGTACAAGCGGAGAAACGGGCCGAGGCTCGCGGCCGAGGCCGCACCCGCACGCAACACCTCTCACGACCACGACCCGAGCTTTCTTCGAGAGCGGCGAGAGCGGGGCTCTCCCCGCCGTCGACCTCGCCGGGTGTGCGGCGGTCAGCTCAAGAAGGTAGCTCGGGCGGACAGCTCGCTCGGTCGCTCTGGCGGGTCGGCTGGTCGAGGCTCGGCCGCTTGGCTGCCTGCCGCGGGTGGAGACGCGGTGTGAAGACGCGGTGTGAAGACGCGGTGTGAAGACGCGGTGTGAAGACGCGGTGTGAAGACGCGGTGTGAAGACAGGTTGGACTCGTCCAAACCAACGTCTTCCGCTTCTAGGCTCGGCTGCTGCCTTGCGTCTTTCGGCCGACCGGCGAGCGTGCCCCCGCCGCCCCCGCCGAGCGCGTCCGCATTGCAGAGTGGCGAGTCAGTGGGTCCGGGGCGGGGCAGTCCGAGGCGGGGTACTCTGAGGCGGGATATGCGGCGGGCGGCCGGCGCGGCACCGCCCGCGGGCGAGGGGCGAGAAAGTCGAGCACCGCCGGCGCGGTCGCCTCGAAGTACGACCAAAACTTGACGAGGCTCGAGCCCTTGTCGGAGAACCAGTGCCCGTAGCCCGGCTGCGAGAGAAAGGAGACGTCGAGGCCCGCGGCCGCCCACTCTTCGCACAACCGCCGCACGGCGTCGTGCCGGATCACTCGGTCGCCCTCCGAAGCGATGCACAGCACGGGCGGCGCGCGACCGGGTCCTCTCCGAAGCAGCGCGGGCACCCATTTCGAGGTGAGGTGGTCGTCGTACGACGCCATCATCCCCTCGTACATCGTGCGAAGGTACGCCGGCATCGGCATCGCCCGCTGGAAGAGCTCGCCGACCCAGCCCTGCACCGCGTAGCCCTTGTCCGCGGGCGTGAGGCACTCGTCGACGAAGCGGCGCGCGGAGGGCGCCTACTTAATTCATTCATTCGTCCTCGGTAATTAACTACTCAGCAGAGCTCGTACAGCGGCGCGCGGAGGGCGCGTCGGTATACGCGTAGACCTCGCACAGGCGGACGCGCGCCTCGGCGTCGCCGACAGCCTCTGCAAAGCCCGGGTTGAGGCAGACGATCCGGCGGATCCCGTGGCTGTGTGCGGCGAGGGCGAGGGCGGTGGAGCCGCCGAGGGAGTAGCCGACGAGGTTGTAGTCGGCCACGCCGAGCGCCTCAATCAGCTTGAGCATCCATGCGGTCCCCTCGTCCACGTCGGGGTGCCTCTTGAGGCGGCCGTCCGGGAGCGGCCGCGCGTCGTCGTCGTGCCCCAGGTACGGCAGCAGCAGCAGCCGGCCCGGCAGCGACCGGAGCGCGTGAGCGCACGGGATGAACTCGTGCAGCGACATCGACATGCCGTGGAGTAGGATGGTGGTCCGGCCGCCGGCGGTGCTCACGCCGACCGCCGGCCGCTCGAGGTAAGTCCACGGCAGCCCGTCGACCGTCACGCTCCGCTCGACCAGGCCGAGCCGCGCAGCCATGAGGGCGGTCGCGGCCTTCATGTACGACGCGCAAGCGGTGCCGGCTACGGACGGCGCCGCCTCGAGAAGGCTGCTGATGGCGGGGAAGGAGGAGTCGATGAGAGCGGTGGCCATTTCGGTGCTGCCTCTCGTCCTCGATGATGTCCTGCCGTCACCCTTAGCCTGCCCTTAGCCGACTGCAGCGCGATTACTTTTTCTCTTGTGCTTAAAGATGCCCTGCAGGCCTATGCAGACTTCCTATTTGAAATGCCCCGGTTTACGGTACCGCAATACCGCAAGCGGAGCTACCAGCCGCGTGCATGTCAAGCGCGTCGAGCGCCGCGTCGGGCCCCTCGGCGGCGCCCGATCGCAGACGCCCGTTGCGAGAGATGAACGGAGTGAATCTGCTCGTCCAGCTCTTAGAGGACGGCGGCGAGAGTGCAGCTGCAGGCGGCTGCGGTGGTGGTGGCGGCGGTGGCGGCAGAGGCGGCTGCAGCGGGCGCACTGCCAAGGGGGGTGAAGACATGCACCGGGTCAGAGCGTCGGACGAGGAGCTCGCCGTTGCGGCCTGGCTGCGCGAGAACCCGAAGATCGCCAAGAAGTACGGCATCAATGACTGCAACGGCAAGACGCGCATCGGCTCAATGCTCCTGCAGGTGTTGGCCTTCATGGGCGGCGTTGCCGAGTGGAAAGAGCGGGCGGCCCCGCCGCAAGGCGAGCCCCCTCCAAAGGGCTCGAACGCGTCTCTCTCGGCGATGCTGGCGAGCGTCAAGCGCCGCGCCGGCCGCGCCGCTCAGCCCAACCCGCAGCCGCCGATGAATGCGCCGCGCGAGGCGGCCATCAAGCAGCTGGCCTGCGGAGCCGCGCGGAAGCGCGGCCGGAGCCCGAAGCCCGAGTTCCCGGCTCTGAAGCGTGCGGTGCTGCGTGACCGGGTTCGCCGGATGGTCGCATCCTGGAGGCGGAAGCGCTTCACCTCGCGCGGCAACGAGCGGCTGGCACCGCAGGAGGTTGCTCTCGCCCAGGCGCGCGCGCGAGAGAGGGTAGGCCAGATCGTCAGACACACGCTGACGGCACGCTCCCCGCGCATGCAGCGCAATCAGGTGACGCAGTGGATCTGCGACCACACCGTGTGCCAGAAGTGCGGCGGCAAGCTTGCGTACGTGAAGCAGCTCTCCCGCCAGGCACTCTCTCCCCAGCCCGCCGCTCACATTTCAGCCTGCCATACACACACCAATCGCGCTGCATGGCAGCCCACTAGCACTCCTACTGTCCCCGGGTCAGGTGGCTCTGTGCGGGTCCTGGTCGTTTACGTGCACGGGCGACTGCAACATGCCCGCCCTCGAGACCTCCGAGGCGATGCACGGCGACGACTACGTGCTCAACACGAAGGTCAACTACGGCCTGGTCAGCAACGCCATCTCGCACAGCCGGTTCGCGGGGTTCTGCTCGCTCCTCGGCATGCGCGCGCCGAGCACGACCGACCACTACCGCTTCAAGGCGGAGGTGGAGCCGATCTGGGCGCAGCAGGCCGAGCGGTCGATGGCCGAGGCGCACGAGCGCAATGTCGCGCGCGGCGACTCGGACTACATCAGCGTGGACGCCGGCTACACGTCGCCCCGCAACGCCAAAGGCTGCACGATGACCGCGCACGCTGCTGACACTGCCATCGTCGCGGTCGTCCACAAGAGGCTGACTGACCCTGGCGCCACCCACTCCAAGGCGCCTCCCCCCCTCGCAGCCTGCGCCCCATGACTGTCGCTGCCCGCCTCACTAGGTCACCATCTCACACAACTGCCCTCGCACCGCAGGGGCTCGAGCCGCTCTGCTTCTTCGCGCTGCTGCGCCACACGCGCGTTTTGGGCTACCGCACCATCGTGATGGATGGGTCGCGAGAGCTCGTGCGCCCCACGCTCGAGTCGGGGAAGCGCGTGCAGGGCGATCTTTGGCACGTGCAGAAGAACTGGTTCAAGTGGTCGGTCGAGGCGATCAAGACGCTCTGCAGGCGGCCGAAGAAGACGGAGCAGGACTCGGCCGAGCTGATCGCGGTCCAGTGCCCGAAGCTAGTCGACCTCGTGGAGCTCGGCAAGACGCCGGCAGGCATGAAGGCGATCGACCATGTCAAGGTGCGCCCCGCGCGTAGTAGAAGTAGCTAGTGTAGATAGGGTAGTGTAGATTGTTAGGTAGATAGGGTGTAGCTTGACACGACTAGCACTAGGGCGTCTAGGCTTCGCATGAGAGAATGAGTGCATCATATCCTTAGTAAGGTGGTGCATTGTACAGTCGTTCTCGTTACTAGCGCCCCAAAAGAGAGACACACCAACACCTGGCGAACGCGTCACTCCCGAGTAGTTGTATTCACAGGTGAGATTCGATCTTAGCAGTCCGCACAGGGGACGGACGACCGATTTTCGCGTCGGCGGGCTCTAGGCGCGAATCCAGGCGCTCGACGGCTTCCCGGAGGATGGCGCCGCCCTCCCTGCGCTCAAGCAGCAGTTTGCCGACCTCGCCAAGGCGCACGCGCGCTCGCTGCCCGCCAATGCGAGGTACGATGAGCAGCTGGAGGCGTACCAGGCCTACACCTCCGAGAAGAAGCGGCGGGCGGCTGCCGCAAAGGAGCGCGGAGCTCAGAGCAAGGAGCTGGCCTCCGACGAGGCGGAGGCGACGGCATGGCGCCGCGAGTTCCGGAACATGCTGCGATTCGTGTCGGAGCACACAGCAACGCTGCGCTTCGCCATCAACCCCAACACCGGCGCCGAGTACACCGATGAGGAGAGGGGCGAGCTCTTCGTTGACCTGTGGCGCACGGCGTGCATCGCCCTGATGACCGGCATGGCGCGCGACTCGAGCACGGCGGAGTATAAGATTCTCGAACTGCTCGGCCACCCTGTGGTCAAGCCCAACCGCAAGGAGCCGTGGGCGATCCCCGGCAAGGGCTATGTCGACCCGCGCTCCAACCTCTTCACCGTCCTCGACTCGCTGCTCCACGACGACCAGTGGGAGACGAAGCTGACGGCGCTCACAGATGCACGGATGACGTACATGAACGAGTCGTACATGCATCTGCTGCGGATCTACGTGCCCAAGGCGTCGTACTTCTCACGCTTCTACGCGCTCGGCGTCTGGTGCAGTGTCTTGCAATGGAACGAGAACGTCGGGCGCGCCGTCCTCGGCCACAAGTGGGTGCTCGGCAAGTCGGGGCAGCTGGCAAGCGACTCGGCGCGCTGCTGGTACAAGCGGCCGGTGTGGGCAAAGCAGACTGCCTTTTGGCAGGCCTCGGGCTGGGAGGCCTATGCGGCTGCTGTCGCAAAGCCGCCTCCACCACAAAAGTGGGTGCAGGCGGCGTGCCCGCGGTGCACAGAGATGCTGCAGGTCCGGATGCCGGCCGGCCTCTCGTCCGTGTCCTGCGCTGCTTGCCGCGGCGTGTTTGCCATCCAAGCGTCGGCAACGGCGCTTGGGATAGCGACTGGCGCTGGTGCTGCGCCTGCGGCGGCTGCCACGGCCGAGCTTGCAGCCACAGCGCCGCCGCTCATGTCGTACGCGTTGGGCGCGCGCAAGGCGATTGCGGTGTACCCCATCGCCGGGGGCGCCGCCGCCGAGCAGAAGCCGCCCGCAGCGGAGTCGTCGGCGAGTTCGTCCGATGGCTCGCCGTCGCAGGCAGCAGATGGCGGTGAGAGCGGCGAGAAGGCAGGCGGGTCGGGTGGCGCGGCTCTGCCCGACCTTCATCCGGCGGCCCTTGCAGCCGCTGAGGCGGCTGCCGCTGCGGCCGGAGGGGTCATGAAAATGCTGGTGGGACCGTTGCGCGAGCACCTCGCGGCTCTTCTCGGCCACAAGCCGATCGGCGACCGACCAGCATTGCGCTTGCAGTTGCAAGAGCTGCTGCCACGCACGGCAGAAGCGGACGCTGTCGGCCGCGCGTCTCTCTCAGCTGCTGCAGCCGCCACACTGCATTCCGGATCGTCGCCCCTGCATCCAGTGCCGTACTCGGGGAGGAAGGGGATCGAGCCGCGGTTCCCAGCCACTTTTGCAACCTCCACTCTGCAGGGCTTCTCCGAGACCCTCCCACGCGCCGAGATCTCTGCGTCAGCGCTCCCGCTCTGCGGGTATGTTGTGCCGCTACGTCTGCTGCCGGAGCCGTACTCCCTTCCATTGTCGCAGCGACAGCGCCGTCAGAGGCAGCCGGGGGCGCCAAAGTGGACGGCCGGGCGCCGAGCCGAGCACGCCGCTGATCTGGCAGCCGGCCGCGAGCCGCGCGGGCTACCGCAGCCCGATCCGAAGGCGGAGCAGCCTGGCGGGGCAAGTCGTCGCAAAGGGAAGAGGCAGCGACTCGAGCTCACGTGCCTTCACAATGTCGTGGGCTGTTGCGGCTTGCCGCATGTCGGCGGCAGGCTCCCACAGCCCACGACGGCTCTCTGCCCCGACTGCGAAGAGGAGTTGTACCCGGAAGGCATGCCCATCGGCATTGACCGCCTGCCGCCCGCAGAGGGGGGGAGCAGCGATGCGGAGGATGGCATGGAGGTTGATGCGGCGCCTCGTGCGACACCGACTCCGCCGAACCCGCCCGCCTCATCGCGTCCCGCGATGCCGCCGCCTCCCTCCATGCCGCCGCCTCCCTCCATGCCGCCTCCCTCCATGCCTCCGTCAAAGCCGCCGTCGGGTATGCCGCCTCCCTCGACGCGTCCTCCTCCGTCCAGCTCTATGCCGTCTTTGCAGTCGCTGCACGCAGCCGGACCTTCCTCTTCCCACGCCTGCTCGACTGCCACCGCCGGTGCTTCCTCTGCTTCCTCTGCTCGCGCCTGCTCGACTGCCACCGGTTCCGCCGGTGCTCCCATCGCTTTCGATGGGGCCGAGCACTGTGACGTCATCCCCAGGAGCGGGATACGGCCCATTGTCGAGTCGCGTCTTTCGCATGTGCCCCAGGTGCAGGCATACGCGCGGCTCGAGCGACTCGGTTGGCGACGTGGCCAGGCCAACGGAGACGGCAACTGCGCTCAGCGATCTGTGATGCGCTCGATCGATCGAATCTCGGCGGAGGCGGCGGCACTCACCCCAGCCTGCGCTCGGATTGCGAGGGAGCGCAACGCGGTCGTCGATCGAGTCCTTTCGATCACGGAGACGGACGGCGTGCGTGAGCGGGACGCGGAGCTAGGCATCTCGCTCACGCAGATACGCGAGCACCTCTTTGCGAGCACCTCTTTGGCGCGGGAGGCGCTCAACAGGTTTCGCACACCTGGCTACTGGGCCTCATCTGGTCGCGCATTCGCTTTGTTTCTGTGGGGGCTGGCGGACCTTATCGACAGGCCGATCATCGTGATCGAACGCGACTTAGTGCAGGGCACCGTGCTCGAGCCCGTGTGGGTCTACCGCGCTCGGCAGGACCTGTTCGGTCCCAGTGCGAGGCTCCGGAGGGACAACTACGGGCTCTGTGCTCAGATGACTTTTGACGAGGTCCTTGCCATGCTTGCCGCCTGGCAGCGCAAGGTGGTGGATGGGGCGGGCGCAGCAGCGTCACGAGCCCAGGACCCTCCCTTTGCACTTGTCGAGTTTGGTGCGGTACACTACAGCCCTTTTGTGTTCAGTCTCTAAGTACGGTTACAGGTCTCGTACAGTGTTCTATAATGGCATGTTTGAGAAACATTAGTACACGTCGACCGACCGACTGTGCGTCTCTCGATCTCACCGCTGGGCACGGAAACCAGTGTACCCATGCGCGGTGCAACGCGCTATGGCCACGTGATCGCACGTGCAGCTGGGCTCCCCTTCTCGCCCTGCGAGGATGGGGAGTGCACCGACGCGCCCCCCAACCTGAACCCGCCCGGCCCAAGCGAGCGCAACGTGTGCGTCGGCAAGAGCGGCTGCGTGGAGATGACGGGTGGGTACGGCTACTGGCTCTGCTGCTCCCCCTCGGAAGACGGCACGCCGTGCCTCCGCCCGAACAAGCAGTACGATAATCCGTGCGCGGCTCCCCGGTGGGCTAAGTGTGGCACGCGGCCAAACACTCAAGTCACCCTCGCTCGTTTGTCTCGCTAGGTACTATCGCTTCGGCGACTCGCTCGATGAGTGTCTCGCGTTTGGCTGCGGCGAGTGAAGACGCGCCCGGCATTTCTCCTCCCTAGAGCCCCCCCCCCTCCCCCATCCCCCTCGCCCCCCTCCACTTCCATCGGACGGTCGGGCGGGACTTAGCAGCCACTTGGCAAGTGACTTCCGACTTGGACGCGTGGCGCGAGAGGGAAGAGGAGCAATGCATGCCGTTGTCCCCCCTCGGCCTCGCCCCTGACGCGTCCACCCTCCGTCCAATAATAGGGTTTGTGGAGCGTCCAGACATGTACAGAATGTGCAGAAGGTGTACAGAAGGTGTACAGAAGGTGTACAGAAGGTGTGTACAGAAGGTGTACAGAAGGAATGTACAGAAGAATGTACAGAAGGTTTTTGAGTGAAAAGAAAGCTGCATGCGCTCTCAGCTCTCACTGGCTGGTTGTACGGCCCTCAAGGCATGCCCAGACACAGCTCACACTAGGGGGGGGGGGGGGCGTCGGACACCGCGGCTGCCGAGCCCGCGGGCGTGGCGAGTCAGGCGGCGAGTCATCGCCGATGGGGGAGAAGGGCCCCTTGGACGGCGTGCCGGGCATGGTGTGCGACCGCACAACGGTCACCGCCGTCTGGTCGGGGCGCTGCGCCCAGAAGGACAATCTGGGACCAGGAGATGAAGCTCGAGCCCGCGGAGGTCCGACGGTCTGCCGTGCACGGGCCCACCGCTCCAGCTGACGCAGTGCAGGACTCCTCCCCACCCGCCGCTCCGTCCGCCGAGCCCCTGCCCCTGAGTTGTTTCGAGAGCTGCGTCCGCGGCGTGGGGAGGGGCTCAGAGCGTGGGCCGGCGCTGGAGGCTGCGGCGCGTGCACGCACGGAGAGAGGGGCGGATGCCACGGGGTGGGTGGGTGGGGTTGGGGGGGGGCTCACCGACCCGGGCTGGTGCTCGGCAGCACGGCGTCTGCGCGGACCCTCCCCCCGTGGGCATGCGGGGTGCGGCGCTGGCGCAGGGAGATGCCCAAGGGGATGGAGCTGAGGTACGAGCGCAGAGCCGCTACCTCGCTCCACAGTCCATGCCGCTCTCGGCGGACCGCGTTTCTCGAGCGCCGCCGCACGTAGGCGACGACGCAGCACTGCAAGGCGGAGAGGGTGAGGAGGAGGGAGACAAAGGGCAGGCCGGTGGAGACGAAGAAGCGGAGGTAGCCAGACGCGGGTCGGCCGGGCGGGCAGAGGGGCTCCTGACCACACACCATGGGACGATGGGAGGCGGGAAGGGGTCACGGGAATGGAAAGGAGAGGGGCTCAGGGTATCCGGCGCGGCGCCTGCAGCGCGTTTCCGCGGCCGAGCGGGTCGTCGCACGACGGGTACAGAAAGTTGAGGCCTTGGAGGTCGTCCTTGCTCAGGCATGTGCGCGCTCTGTGCTGCGTCATGGAGAGCATGAGAGAGCCGGTAGCGCCGCCGCGAATTTCTTCGAGCTCGATGTTTGCGGGTGTCAGAGGCCTGCGGCATGTCTCGGGTGCGCCGAGATGCACGCCCGCCTTGGCGCGCAAGTTGAGGCGCGGGAACTCGTCGGGATGGTCAAAGCCGAGGATGTGGCCCGCCTCGTGCGCGACTGTGGCCGTGAAATCATAGCAGTCCCAGCAAGGCAGAAAGACAAAGACGTAAAAGACGGGCGCCGCGGCGAGGCAGTAGTTGGCGACGAGAAGGCTCGGGAGTGGCAGGCGTGCAAAGTTGCGGACGGCCGCGTCGCAGCGCGCCGAGACCACTGGCGGCCGTGCGAGGGGCTCGTCGTGGCACGCCGCCGTGGCCGTGCAGACAGGCCGGAGCAGGCAGAGGCAGCACAGGCAGCCGAGGACGAAGCTCAGGCTGCACACGAAGACCACCGCGTACCACTCGCCCCCGCCGTCGCTCGCGTGGAAACGGTGGCAGAAGGCGGCGTCCAGGTACCAGCACAGCTGTGAGTTGAGCACCACCTCCGACCGCCTAATACCGTTCCGCTGCTGCAGCGTCGTCCCCGACGTGAGCACCGTCGGCACGTGGTCGGCTTCATACTCGCTGATCGCGGCGTACCTCTCCTCGGGGTACCTCAGCTGCATGCCCTCGTGCATGCGGATGTCGGTGGTCAAGAAGAGCTCGGCGTTGCCACACGCGGCGCCCTGGCGCCCTTCCCACTCCTGCCAGCACGCCTCGGAGACGTCCTCGAAGTGAATGCGCTTGTGGTTGATAGCCCACGTGTCGAGAGCTGTCGCCACCGCCTGGACATACCCTCCTGGTTATCCTCGCGATGGTCTTGCGATAAAAATGCTACTTCGGGCTGTGGTGGGGCTGTCGCGACGGTAGGCTCCCTACTACCTGGTGGCGTGCGCCTCTCGGATGTCGTCGCAGCTGACAAAGCGAGAGGAGAGACTGTAGCCCATCTCGCGGTGCTGGGGCAGCATCTGGTGGCAGAATTGAGGGTGCAATGCGTAGGTGATGCCCGCTGCGAGTCCATCTGATAATGGTGCTCCGCCCGACGGCAGCGACCAAAGCTTCGCGACATTGTACAGGTCGACCCTGGGCCAGCTCTCCTCGCACGAGGCTTGAGCCGCGTACCCGTTGCTGCACGGGCTGTGGAGCACCCAGCCGCGCACACGAGGCGCCGCTGCCAGCACACTGGCGATAAGTTTGGCGTGCATGAATGCCTGCTCGGCAGGGATGCTTGTCGTCAATCCGGGCGCTGGGCGCTTAGCGACGGAGAGCGGGGCTTGTTGGGAGGAGGAGGCTGTTGCAGCGGGGCAGCGGACATGGCGAGGACACACCTCTGGACGGAGAGCGGAAACTTGTTGGGAGGAGGAGGCTGTCGCAGCGGGGCAGCGGACAGGGCGAGGACACACCTCTGGCGGCGTCGCACTTCCCGATTCGCAGAGCAGGTTCGGATGAGTCTCCCCACATGTGCGATGGCGTGTCACGCTGGAATTTCTTTTTTACCATAGGTGTAGCTTACTGTCGTCTGTTGTTTGAGTTGTGCCCTTGTTTGTGCCCTTGGCACCGTGGAGTGCTGGGGGGGGCGACAGGGAGGATGTGGCCCTGAGTTATGTGTACGCCGACTCAGGGTGTGTGGCAGCCAGCTGGCTGTGTGTCTTGTGAGCTTGTTTGTGTCTGTGTGTCGCTCGTGCGTGTCGTCATCATCTGTCCAGCGTCCACCCATACCGCGTTGGTGTCCAGTCCGAGCCTGGCTGTTCTTCACCTTACTACCTACCTACCTACCTGTAGCGAGTTGATGCCCCAGCTCTTGGCGTGGATAGGGGTCCGATTTTTGGTCCATGGTTTGGTTGCTCACAACGTGCCTCACGCACGCATACACGATCAGCAGGAGGATGTACGAAGAGATTAGGAGCAGCAGGGACCCGAGGGACAATGTGGAAGACGGCTAGTGCTAGTCCCCCATTGGGAGGACGACCCCGGCTAGTCGCCGACCACACCCACAAAGAACCCTGCACAAAGATCGCAAGGGCGGGGACCTGTTCCTTTTTACCCATCTCACAGTATCTAGATAGAGAGGTGTCCGTTTTTATTTATTTATTTATACTTATACACGATGCGCCCCCCCGCCCATCACCCCCCAGCACCGAGATGCCATCCTCTCAGTGATGCGGCGCCCGCCCCCTCATCCCACGCCTCATGCCCCTCATGCCATACGCGCCGTCATCCCACGCCTCATGCCGCAATCTTCTTCTCCAGCGCCTCGAGCAGGTCCTTGGAGTTTCGCCGACCCGTCTTCGCCGCCAGCACCGACGGCTTGTTGCCATAGGCGTCCGATGCCGACGAGGCGCCGTGCTCGATGAGCGTCTGCGTCATGTTTTCATTCTCGCTGAAGGCCGCCAAGTGCAGCACGGAGCGGCCGCACTTGTCGGTGTGATCAATCAGCCGCTTGCGCTCGGACGCGCGGACGCACTCCAGCAGCGTCTGCGGGCGGGGGTCGGCCGCGGGGCCGTGGAGAGTAAGGTGTCGCTGCATGGGGGAAGGGCAGAGAGGTGGTGGTGGCGCATCACCGTAATGGCGTCCTCGGCCTTGTGGGCCACAGCGCAGTGCAGCGCCGTGCCACCAGCCGCCTGCGGAGGGCGGAGCTTGGGCAGCATTTCGCCTCGTGACGGCCACCAACCGCGCGCTCCAGCAGCACTAGGGTGAAGGCATCTAGTCATGGCTACGTTCTCGACGAAGGCGTCGGAACCGTACTCGATGAGGAGCTTCACGAGGTCGGGGTGGTTGAACTCGGCCGCGAGCATCAGCGGAGTCTTGCCCTGCAAGGCGGCGCATGCAACACGAGCTCAATGCCGTGGGCGCCGCTGAGTAGCAAAGGAGCCGGGATTCATGGCAGCTACTGGGTGGCGTGTGAGCCGTGGCTAGCTGCTTGTGGCCGCCTGTTTGTCTTGCCAGTTCAAGTCGACGAGCTTGGAGTCGCTTTGCACGAGCACCGCCCGGAGCAGCTTCTCCTTGCCGCCGCGCGCGAGCTTGTGCAGCGGCATCTCGCCCTGAGAGTGTGGCGCGGCCGGAGGCGTGTGTGTGAGGGTGCATGTGGTGCGCGACCTTGCTAGGCTGCTCTCGGCGAGCAGAGATTGGGGGAGAGCTAGGGCTTGGGCGGCTTCCTTTTCATCCTCAATCCGGACGCTCAGATTCTGGCTGATGAGCTCGTCGATGGCCCTCGCGTCGCCGAGCTCGCTCGCAACCAGCAGCCGCACATGCGCATCGAGACCCTCCCGGCCGACCGACGCCGGCATCTTGTAGGCCGTCACGCCGGCAGCCTTGCGCTCCGACTCGCTCAGAATCGTGACTGGCCTATACGGCTCATCGATGCGCCCGCTCACGCTGTCGAGGTGGCACAGCTCGGCTACCGCGTGGCTATTCTCGGCTAGAGGCGGAGCGCGCCGCCTCACGCCGTCGAGCCCGCGAGACGTGCGCCTTGCTGGCGCCGGCGCGGCCGGCGCTTCGGCGGGCTGCTTCTGCACCTCGTCTGCCCGCCGCGCCTCAACCAGCGCATCTTGAAGCTACGGCGCGGCGCGAAGCGGCAAGGTGGTGAGTGGTCGAGAGACGGTAGAGGAGGCGGCCCAAGCTCGGAGCTTGCGCGCCGTGGCGCGCTCCCAGTCTGCCTCAATCCACTGCCCCGGCCTCTACCCCCTCCCCCTCTGCGCGCACCTTGAGCATCTCCCAAATCTGCTCATCACTCATGCCGTGAGCTCCGAATCCGCCCATGTCGAAGCCGTAGTAGGCCGCCAGCTCCTTGAGGTCCAGCTCACCGTTGCCGTCCGCGTCCATCGAGGCCCAAAGCCCCTCAAACTCCGCCGCCTCCATCTCTGCACCGAGGGCGGGCAGAGCGGCATCGCGCAGAGTGAGAGCCAGCGCCGGGGCGGTGGGGCCGTCCGCGCGCGGCCGGCGCCTGGGCGGATCAGCAGGTAGGCCATCCTGAACTCATCCTACCAGGGAGGTCGCCGCGTCAGCAGGCGCTTTGACACGCGAGCAGGGGCAGCGGGCTTGTGAGCGACGGCGCGTGCTGCCAGGAAAATTCTGGCTGGCTGACGCGCTCGCGTGCGAGGCTGACGTATACTCGCCTTTGTGACGACGCCGTCGCTGTCCTTGTCGAGGTGGGCAAGGATCTCGCGAAAGTCCTCCTCGGAGATGTCTCTCGGCGCAGCAGGCATGCTGACGACACCCTGTGTGGCGGGGCACTCAGTAGCCGTTACAAGTTGTCTCTGATTCAGGCAGGTCCGTCAATTAAGAGATAGTAGGAAAGTTCAATGCCTGGGTCGGTTACTGACTGCACTCCAAGCCTCCAAGGGCATGCGAAAGCTAAAGAGACGACTCAGAGGACTATCAATCATGAACATGCAAACACAGCAAACACAGGCGATGCCCATTCCGCATTCGGCATCGGCAGGGCCAGTGGAGGGGCGGGGGACTTCCTCCGCATCAGCCGCGGCCAAGCGCCATGGACGCCGGCCTCGGTGGCAGCCGGAAGAACTGCCTGTCGTTTTGGTAGAGGAGCGAGTTTTGCAGCCGCTGCTCGAGCGGCAGGTTACAGTAGCAGCGGTCGCCCAGGCAGCCGGGCGTCTCATTCGTCGCGCGAACCTTCGCCACCAGATCATCCCACGCCTCCGTCTTGACCAGCGCCCCGCTCTCTGAGAGATGCGCCACCCTCCGCACGCGGTACTGGTAGTTGATGCTCGACAGGCCCTGCTCGGGGTAGAACGAGACGCGAAGGAGGTCCTGCGCCGCGTCAAAGGCGACCGGCTCTCCGCCCGGCGCGACGAGCGTCTCACCCGCAGTCGGGATGAAGATGTAGTTGCCTGTCCCAATGTCGATCCACCGCTGATCCGGGGACGACACCATCGTCATTGGCGTGCGGCGCAGGCAGCAGCCGGGCAGACTGCGGGCGGAGCCGCACGGGGCGACGGCCCAGCAGGGGAGGCAGAGGCAGGGGCAGCAGCCAACCGGCGGGCACGTGATCGGGGAGAAGGGCGGGCCGTTCCACACTCCAAAGCAGGTCGGGTCCCGCGTGAAGTTGAGGCCGAGGTCCTTGGTGCCGAGAAATGGCGCCGTCGCTGTCGCCGGCTGCCAGTAGGCATCCTGCCACGTGACTAGCACCTCGTTGGCGAGGTTGTCTTGCATCCAGTAGAGGCCCTTTAGCCGCTCCGGGCACTGTTCCGGTGCCACGCCTCGCTGGAGCATCTCGATGAAGACCTCGTCTCCGCTCTCCAGCAGCGACAGCTCGGTGAACCCAAAGCAGCACTTCATGTAGCCCAGACAAACGGCGGCGGGGCACAGCGCGCATAGCGGCGACCGGTGCGAGAACCAATTCACCGTGCCGAGATTGCACGAATCGGGCCATGGCAGCCCGAGGCAGCAGCTGACAAAGGTCTGAGCCGGGTTGAGCTGCGGCGGGTCGTAGGCGCCACCGTCGGCCGCCATTTTTGCCAGCGACGGATAGTCGCGGTCGAGCTTTGCGAGGGTTTCCGATGGGCCGTTGACAATGGAGAATAGCAAGGGCGTGGCGCCGCAGCACCACGTGTCGGTCAAGTCGGCAGTGCTTTGCATCGACCGAGCCGACCTAGCGCGCGCTCGCGATGCCGGGCAACGGGCGGAAAGCGGGCAGCCTGAGGTCGACTGCCCCGGCGCGCCTCGCGGGCTCTTGCCGCCCTACCGCCCTAACGGGTCCGTACTGGTAGTGGCGGCGCTCCAAGCGTGGTGCTCTTGGAATGAGAAAAACAAGTCGGCTTCCGGAAAGGGGTTTGCGATGAGGAGCGATTTTCGGTTCGGCGGTTTTTTCTCTTTTTTTTGAGAGCGCCTGGGAAGGCGGCGCCCGGCTTGCGCAATGCTGCCCGAGGCCTTTCGCTTCTGGGAGCTCACACGGATGAGCCTCGCGGCCTGGGGAGTCGCTGGATCGATCGGCTACGTTCTCTGTGCGCGCACGCCTCGCACCCTCGATACTCCCGCGTGCTGACCGCCACCGCGCCTTCAGATCTGAGGCCGAGGCTGTACCCGCCTCCGCCAGAGCACCGCAAGGCTAAGGCCTTCACGCCGAGAGAGGCGCCGCCGGTAGTGATGTACCGCTCGGCGTTCTCTACAGCCTCGCTCTCTCACGGAACGCGATCTCACGGATCACGCGCTGAGGAGGCCGCACGCGCTCGCCGTTTCGGGCATACTCACGATCGCCGTTTTGTAACGCAGGTGGAAGAATGGAACGCTGGAAAGGGCGTCAAGCCGGTGCAATGAGCGTCGTCGTCGGTGGTCGTGCTCCACAGTCGCTGAGGTCGCTGTCTTATTCGGGTGACAGAGCGACAGGGCGGCTAGGATCTAAGGTAAGGTAAGGCAAGGTAAATTTCTCCACACACACAAAGTGGTGGGGCAAGGGGCGACCCTCGCACACCGTTCCCTTCACCGTTTCTCTAAGATCGCGATGAGCGCTCAGAGAGTGTGGCGCGATACGCACCGCAAGCGGGCTACACAAACTTGAGCTCCTTTTGGCCCCAGCCGAACGCGGCCTTGTGCTGCTCGAAGAGGAGCGTGTAGCCGTCGAGCAGCTTTGCGTGGTACTCGTCAACCAGCTGCTTTGAGGGCCTGTCCACCCGTGGGCACCTACACTTCAGCGTGTCGTTTGCAAGACGCTCCGCAAGGTGGTTCGTGGTACTCGATCGGTGCGTGGTACTCGATCGGCGCGCCGAGGGCGGTGCACACCGCGACCCTGCGCGGGGGGCCGACCGGCCAGCCCCACCGACCTGCGCAGGCCGGGCGTTCGGGACTGTTTCGGCGGGCGCCGGTCCGTGGCAACTTGTCGGGGCAATGCCGGGGCAATGCCGGGCAAGGGGGCAGTGTTGTGGCAGAGTCGTGGCAGTGTCGCGGCAGAGTCGTGGCAGTGCCGTGGCTGCGAATCGCGGCGTAAAATCGGCAGCGCGCGACGTCGAGCAACCTCGGGCAACCTCGGGCAATCTCGGGCAATCTCGCCGTAAAAGGGGCAGAGCGCGACGTCGAGCAACCTCGGGCAACCTCGGGCAATCTCGGGCAATCTCGCCGTAAAAGGGGCAGAGCGCGACGTCGAGCGCGACCGAGAGGCGCTCGAGGATGCGGAACGGGTCGGCCACGACCGTCCACAGGGAGGAGTGCCTAGGGGGGCGAGATTGCCCGAGATTACCCGAGATTGACCGAGACTGCTCGACGTCCAAAGGCAGCGGCTGGCCTAGAGGACGGTTCCGCGAGCCGTCTGCTGGGGCTCTCGTGGCGAGCCGCTCTCGGAGAAGTCCGGGGGCGCCCAAAGCCGTAGACGGGGACGATCGGCACGCCCGCCTTTGGGCGAGATGAGCCGAGATTGGCCGAGATTGGCCATGATTGGCCGAGACTGGGCCGAGATGTCAGCGGCACGCCCTTTACGGAGGAGGCGAGATTACCCGAGATTACCCGAGATTACCCGAGATTACCCGAGATTACCCGAGATCCAACAAGCCCGCCTTGAGGGCGATGGCCACGATCGCCTTGCGCTTTTTCACCCACGCCTTCTCCACCCGCTCGTCCGACTGGAACATGCCCGCGATCCCGTCCAGCACGACGCCGACGCTCTCGCGCCGCTCGAGCGCTTTACTCATCTCCTTGCCCTTTGCGGGAATGTAGCCGATCGTGCGGAGCACGTACCCGACCAGAGGGATCTGCAGCACCACCGGCGCGGTCGTCCAGTGACACAGCGCGCCGCCCAGCCGCGACCAGAGCGGGTAGCAAGTGATGCCCAGCGGCGCGGCGCCGTGCGGGATCGCGGCAAAGATGCAGTGCTGGCTGCCGCGGATCTGTTCAAACGAGGCCGGCCACACGACGCGCATCGAGAGGTACTTCTGGTTGTTCCGCTCGGTGAAGACGTACCAGCCCGCTGACGCTCTGCGGACGGCGAGACGAGGTTCTGGGCATATGAGCCGACGCCGAGGGCGACCGCCAGCACGAGCAGCCCAATCCAGCCGTAGAGCCCGCCGGCGCACAGCGGGAGCACGAACGGAAGCCAGTTCAGCGTGAGGTAGAGCGGGATGTTGATGATCCGCTCGAGGTGTGGGCCGAGCGCGAGTGGCGACACGGCGCTCAGCGAGCCGGCAGCGAAGCCGCCGGGCCCAACCTTTTGCGCCCGATCGAACCACTTCTCGTCTGGGACGGCGTCGTCATAGAGCTCGTCCGGGAGCGCCGCCAGATCGAGGCTGAAGAAGGCCATTTCGGCAAGGCAAAGGGTCCCAAGGTCGGGCATGAGGATGAGATCGAGCGGCTTGTCGCCGGCGCTGCTGCCGTGCCGGTCCACCGATCCACAAACACGCCCGATTTTTCTACTCTGCCAGGGGCCCCTCCACTCGCCTGCACCTGCTCGAACCCTGAGCACTGTGCGGCGTTGCACGCTCGAGGTCGTGCATGATGTAGTAATCATTGTCTTGAGTATTGCGCTTCTCTCGCTAGAGAGCGCTAGCCTCTACCCCTTCGGTCCGTCCGGCGCGGCAGATGCGACGCCGAGACTGACGAAACCTCCCTGTGGTGGGCTGCTGAGCCTCCCCACGCTCGACCTTTGAGGTAGTATGATGGAAGGTCGATGCCCGGAACGGCCTAAGCTCAGCTGAACCCCACGCAAAGACCTCCTTGAATCCACCGTCAAAGATAAGGGCAACTGGCGATTGAGTCGCTGACGCCGCACGACTATGCGCCCGAGCGACCGATCGCGATTATCGAGCGATCTAGCAACTATCCCAACGAGTAGTCCGGTGCTCCGGTAAAACCCCCCCGCCCCCGCCGTAGCGATGACGATGAGGAAATAGCACCCGACGCGAGTCGGGCCTACACTCGCTTGGGTGGCAAGCACGCCACAGTTGCACTCATCAACAGTGTCAATCACCGTTGCCACAGTCGACTTAAATGCAGACCTGATTGCTGCTTCGTCGTGACCCAAATTTTAACTGAACGAGTTGATGATCCTTGTGACTTATACCGTTACTCCGAGCTTCCCTTGATCTGAATCGCCTCCAATCCTCCATATCTGTCAATTTCGCCCTCACCGTAGTCTCCCCTGCTCCCCCGCCCCCGATAACTCGAATTTGATGGCATAGAACTTTGTGGTAGTTGCACCTTCCGGAAAGAGGCGCATGCATCCCCGCCCACGTCACCTGTACCCTGTAGGCTTCGTTCACGAACACGTGGTCAATCATGCTCGACCCTCCCGACCCCGAGACCACCCTGCTTTCCCCATCTTCCTCCTCCTCCTCACTCTCCACCTCCCTTCCCGCCTCCTCCGCCACCTGGTCCGGCTTGAACGACACCGGGAGCACTTTGAAGTCCCCATTGTCTCCACACGTCGACCCATAGAGATGTCCCCACCGCAGTCGGATCTCCCCCACTCGTAGTCTTGTCGGCGCGCTTGCCTCGTGTAGGACCACATTCAGCTCTACCTCTCTCCTATCCTCCTCCCTTCTCCCGACATCCCCCCCATCACACTCTACTCTAATGAAGCATAGACCCTTATATGAAATGAACTCGGGCATAGACATAGACCCTCATCCTCTCCTCTCTCCTCCCAATCTTCCGTGATGGCCGCGCATCGACATAGTATCCACCTGTCCTCTCGGCATAGCTCCTTGATAGACGCACCTATTTTGGAGGGATGAAGCCCCATCACCCTTCCCGTTGCCTTGGCTACCTCAAAGGCCTTACTCCAGTCCATCTTCGAGCCCCTCTTCCTATTGAAGAAATAAGTATCTGCGTTTCTACCCAGACGAGTGAAATTATTCTCGTCCACCATCCGACACAGTGATCTCTCTCTCTCTCTGTCTCTCTCTTTCCTTTCCCAAAACAAATCTCGTGCGACTCCGGCCTTCACAGGTGCCGATGACGTTCCCCGACGAGCAACGAGGCGCTGCTCATCAAGAAAGACGCTGCTGGCGCGGAGCCCGAGCGCAAGGCTGAGCCGCGTGCAGCGCGTGCAGAACAAGAAGCTGTGGCGCGCGTACGCCCATTGCGCGCTTCTCCAAGGGCGGCTTTTACGGCCAGGGCATCTACCTCGCGGAGGACCCGTCCTACCCGATCGGCGGCCGGTATGCGCACCGCGTCTCCGGCTCGGGCGGGAGCCGCGTGCAGCTGCTCATCGTGAAGGCCGCCCTCGGCTCGCAGCAAGAGATGCAGCGCATCAGCGCGGAGACGAGGGCGATGCGGATGCGGACGTGCGCGTCGAGGGCCCTCCCCGACTCCTCTACGACAGCGTGCGCGGCGGGCCGCACCGCCCCTTCCTCTCCGGCGGAGGCGAGAACGGGTGCGACGCCTCCATCGTGCACGTGGTGTACGAGTCGCGCCAGATGTACCCGGCGTACGTGATCGAGGTCGAGATGGAGATGGGGGCCGAGGTGGTGGCGGCCGTGCGCAAGAACTCGGCGGAGGGGAGTGCGAGCGCCGGCCCGGCACCCAAGCGGCAGCGCCACGCTGCGCCGAGCGGCGGCGGCGGCGGCGGCGGCGGCGGCGGCTCCAGCGGCGGCGGCTCCAGCGGCGGCGGCTCCAGCCATTCTGCTGCTTATGTCCCCGCTGCTGCGCCACCGAGCGTTGCGGAGGTGCGGGCGATGGGCGTGGCGGCGGCGGTGGCGGCGCTGCGGGCGCACGCGTCGGTCAGTCGCGTCGCGCTTGTGGCCTGCGGGCGGTTGGCTGAGCTGTGCTTAGAGGCGCAGAACAGGCAACCTGCGGCGGATACGGGCGCGATCGAGGCGATCGTGGCGGCGCTGCAGGCTCACCCGCAGGTGGTGGGTGTGCAGCAGAATGGCTGCGGGGCGATGGCCAACGTGTGCGTATCTATGCAGCGACGCCGCAGCGCTCGCACGTACGCAGCGCGCAGCAGACGCGGGCGCGATCGAGTTGGCTGTGGCGGCGCTGCAGGCGCACCCAGAGGTGGCGGGTGTGCAGGAGGAATGCTGCCGGGTAGTGGGCAGCGTGTGCTTTGGCACCGACGCCGCAGGAATCGCACGCAAACAGCGCGCAGCAGGCGCGGGCGCGATGGAGTTGGTTGTGGCGGCGCTGCCGGCTCACCCGCAGGCGGTGGGTGTGCAGCAGTATGGCTGCTGGGCGATAGTCAACGTGTGCCACCGCACCCCCGGCGCAGGGCTCGCACGCATCCAGCGCGCAGCAGACGCGGGCGGCATCGAGGTGGCTGTGGCGGCGATGCGAGCGCACCCGCAGGTGGCGCGCGTGCAGCAGTGTGGCTGCCAGGCGATGGCCAGCATGTGCTTCGGCACCGGCGCCGCAGCGCTCGCACGCATCCAGCGCGCAGCAGACGCGGGCAGCATCGAGGTGGCTGTGGCGGCGATGCGAGCGCACCCGCAGGTGGCGCGCGTGCAGCAGTGTGGCTGCCAGGCGATGGCCAGCATGTGCTTCGGCACCGGCGCCGCAGCGCTCGCACGCAAGCAGCGCGCAGCAGACGCGGGCGGTATCGAGGTGGCTGTGGCGGCGCTGCAGGCTCACCCGCAGCATGCGTGCATGCAGCAGACTGGCTGCGCGGTGCTGGTCAATTTGTGCTTCGGCGGCGACGCCGCAGCGCTCGCACGCAGGCAGCGCGCTGTGATTGCGGGCGCTCCCGAGGCAGTGGCGATGGCTATGCAGGATCACCCGGGCGACGCAGCTGTCCAGAGCAAAGGGCAGGTTTTGCGTGATCTTCTTGCCAGAAGGGATCCGGGCCGCGCGGACCAACAGAGCGCACCATCAAGAGGAAGAACGCATAGGCTCCGTGGTTGTCTGAAAGGGGGGTGGTCTCTGAGCGCACAGGTTCGGTCGTGTGGGAAGGCTTGCGGCTTGCGCGCGATCTGCTTGTCTGGGGGCGGCGGCGTGGTGGTGTGGTGTGTGTGTGTGTGTTGGGGGAGAGGGCGGGGGGAGGGGGGCGGGGGGGGTCCCGAGTCGTCCTGTGACATCGTGAATGCGATCCCACGTTCCTGTGTGTGTGACGCTCCTGCGAAAAATTGGTACTTAGCCACAACACATACCTCGCGCTTGTCGCCCTACCCAACGCGTGGCCAACCTCGAGAACCTCGAGATACCTCTTCGCAGGCAGCTGGCGTCCCCGGTCCCGCTCCCGGTTTTATGCTCAAATCGCCGCCCACTGTCGGTTGGCAGTTACCCAATTCTGCGAGCCCCCACTCATGCATGGGCCATGGGGCCGCGCGCTAGTTCAGAGCGAGAGAGGCGGGGTCCTCACGCCACCTTGCTGGCTCGAAGACTTGGCATGGCTCGCGCGCCGATGTCGCTCAGAGTGCTGTACTCAGTCCGCGACGCGCCTCTGCTCACGGCAGCCTTGGCCTGCGCGTCGCGAGCAGCCTGCTCCCAGTCGACATTCATCACGCACCACCCAAGGCATGCAACCTTGAACACCTCGCCATAAAAGTCGCTCCACCAGAAGCCGGAGAGGCCCCAGCCCCATGAGATCGGCATGAGATAGGCGAGCGGGATGTAGATGCCCCAGGAGGCGACAGTGTTCGCGATCAGGTTGACGCGCGCCTCCTTCGGGCCGAGCGAGACGCTGACCACGGTCAGCATGAATCGCACGTAGCACATAACGACGCTAGCCATGAATGCAAACAAGGCCTTGTCGCAGAGCACCACCAATTCCGGATCCGAGGTCCAAATCTTCCACACGCTGTCGTGGTACACCGCGATGACGGCGCAGAGGAGCACGGCGCCGATCAGCATCGTCGCTGAGCCAATCGCGAGGATGCGTTTCGCGGCCTGCGGCTTCCCCTCGCCCAAGTAGCGAGCGAGCCGAATCTGAGTAGCAGTCGAGAAGCCCGAGACAGTGGAGTAGGAGAGAGCGAAGAGTCCAGTCAGCACATTTTGGGCGGCAGCGACCGTCACTCCAGCCAAGCCGGCGAACGAGCCCGCCAGAGCGCCGGCCGCCCAATCGACGAGAGCGGACATGGCCGTCGGTAATCCAAGCTCCAGGAATGTGACAATGCGGCTGGAGCTGGCGGCCTTCCGGCTCCACCCGGCCCAGTACTCTTTGTGGTAGCCCTTGATGACAACGGCGTAGCCGCAGAAGACGAGGAGCTGCAGGTAAGAGGAGGCGACGGTGGCGAGCGGCGAGCCGACGAACCCCAGCCCCTCGAATGAGCCATAGCCGTAGATGAAGAACCAGTTGAAGAGGGCGTTTGCCACCACCGTCACGCAGGTGGCAAAGGTCGCGGGCATCATGACGCCGATGGTCGCGAACCAAGACGTTAAGGCGACGTAGAGGTACTGAGGCAGCAGCGACCAGGCCATCATCTCGCTGAACAGCCGCGCGTACTCCACCACCTCCTTATCCGCCATCGTGATAGCGACGACGCGATGGACATTGTAGAAGAGCAGCATCGTCGGGATGGAGCCGACCACCGCCACGATGAGTGCAGTCTGCAGCCATTCGCCGACAAGCGGACGGTTGCCAGCGCCGCGAGCCTGGGAGGCTAGCGTCGTCACGGCCTGGATGGTGAACTGGATCGCGGCAGACGGGACGCCCTGCAGCTGCGCCGAGAGCGCCACTGCTGCCAACTGCTTCGTACCGAGGTGACCGAGGAACGCTGCGTCGATGGTGGTGAGCAGAATTCGGACAATCTTTGTGGAGGAGAGCTGGACGGCTGTGCCAGCCATGTCGAGGAACTCGGCTCCGAGCGAGCCTTCCTTCTCAGCGTCGAGCAGGGGCTGCTTCATGATCGCAGGACTCTCCCAGGTTGACGCACTTCGGAGACGAGCGGAAAGCGTGGGCCTGTGGGCTTGGGGCGCACCCCACCCCGCTCAACGCAAACACTACACGGGGACGCACGAGAGCCGTGAGAGAAGAAATACTGCGCGTCGTCAGGCAATTTTTTCTGAGCTTCGCACTCTTGCGTTCTCTTCGTGTGCACTCTTGTGCTTCTGCTTGTGACATGTACATGTACATGTCCAACATGTAGATGTCCTGTCTAGGCGGCGCCGTCCGGCCCGAGGGTCTAAACATAACATATTATTTCTGGCCTATAGCCTACCGACACCAACACACTGCGTCCGCCGTATCGCGATCCGTCAGGCATCGAGGGCGCGGTATTCGGCCCGAGGGTCTAAGATTTGTTTGTTTGTTGGCGTGTTTAGGTGGTACCGTTTGGCCCGAGGGTCTAAGATTTTGTTTGTTTTTGTTTGTGTTTTAGCGTTCACTGACACTGTTACGTGTTAGCGTCGTGCGCGTGTGCGTGTGCGTCGACCTCGCGTACGTACAATTGTACGCACACACAGCTGTCGCAGCTGAGAGCTGCTGTCCGACTGTGCCGCATGTGTCATTTCACTCGCGTGCCCACACTCGTGCGCACACAGCTGCAAGATACGATGACATGTCTGCGGCGTACTTTTTCTTTGCAATTTGCGCAAGCTCGGACAGTTCCTGTTCTCCCAAAGAGGCCAAAAATCCCTTTGCGTCGGTTCTGTGCCTTGCGGTCGAATCCTCAGGTAAATACTTTTCGCACAAAGGCAAGCTCAGGTTTGCGGCACGGCAGATGGTGATGACCTGTGTGTGCAAGCTCGGTGGAGGAGGACAGTGGGTCAGGTTCCCGGAGCTCCCAAACACAATGAGGCGACTGAACCGTTTGTACGTGTTGCAGCCGGTATTCTGAGGTATGAAGTGGCCATTGAATCTGGTGTCCATATGATGCCTGGCGAAATGGCTCAGATTGGTGAACGAAGGTGCGTAGTGTCCATGGCAGTGAGTGTTGCTCCTCCGCCGGACGCACCAATCAAGAAAGCCGCTCGCCATCCGCTCGACGGGATCACGAAGAACGCGCACGTGCAACCAGTCTGGCCGTGAGGCGTAGAAACTTTCAATACCGTGGTCGATTCGGGCGGCGCGTGTGCCAGTCCTAGAAAACAACCACGAGTAGTGCGGGTCGAGATCCGACTTCGCGTCAGCAACTCCAACGAACAGGTCTCTCCAATTTGACATGCCACCCTTGAACTGCACGCAAACGCTCAAGTTGTGGACCATGTCGGCGAACAGAATGCCCACCGTTGGAAACACGAGTAGGATGGGAAGCGGCATTGCACGTCGGAAGACACGAAACGCGACGTGTGCTGGGGACACAGCTCGAGGGCTGCTGTGGTACTCCGCTTGCCCGAAAAAGAATGAAAGAACAAGCTCCAAGTGCTCCAAGAAGACAACCCAAGGAGGGATGAGGACGGCACGCCGCTACCGCGCTTGCCCGTAAAGAAATCGCGCCGGCCAAGAAAGAAAGAAAGAAAACCGACAACCAAGGGAGGGATGGGAGAACGGCACGCCGCCACCATCCCCGCCCCACCCGGTACCGGAATACTTTTCCGAACTGTCGCAAGTGCCCGCCGCGAGTCTTGACTCGCGGCGCGAGCTTCCGTGCACGGCATCGCAAGCCGAGCCCTGGCTGCCGAGGGGCCGCCGCTGGTCGAGGCAACCCGCATGGACTCCAGAACCCAGGCTGAGGTCCAGCACGCGAGGCGGCTGGCGCGCAACGTGAAGGCCATCCGGCTACGAGAGGAGCAGCCCGAGGCATCCGGCGAGGGCCGGCCGCCTCTGCCCTCTCTGCTCGAGGCGAGGCGTGCCCGCAGTGCCGCGCGCGGCTTCCTGCTGCTATCCGTGGGCTTGTCGCTGGTCTCCCTGCTCATGGCAGCAGAGGAGACGCCGGCGCGATTCCCGTTTCCGCTGGATGCCATAGGCCGCCGATTGGAGAGCCTCTTTGACCCGTTGCCACCGGAGCTCCGAATACCTCCGTCGTCGCCGCCAGCGCCCCCGTTGCCACCACCTCGCCCACCCGGGCTGCCACCTCCTTCGCCACCCACCCCGCCTCAGCCGCCCCCAGCTCCTCCCACGCCACCGCCGTCACCGCCGCCGCCGCCGCCCAGACCTCCGCCGCCGCCCAGACCGCCGCCGCCTCCGCTGCCAAGCCCACCGCCGAGCCCACTGCCCCCGTCGCCGCGCAATCCGCCTCCCAGGTACCGCACACCATGTGAAAAGTGCGACCAGTGCCAGGGCCTCCTGGCCGACCCGCGCTTCATCTTCCGACGGATGTGGGGCTCGCAGGCGTGGCGGCAGTGGAAGATCGGGACGGGACTCGCCGGGTCGTGCTTCGAGTGGCAGCGGGACTCGCCCGGAACGTGGCAGTCCGCCCAGGCATATTTTATGGATACGTTGCTCGGCAAGCACTGCCAAACCAACTGGTATGAGGGCAACGGCGGCGACCTCGGAAGACAGGACCACTTTCCGACTTTCGAGGGGCCCGCGCCCGCGCTGCTGGGCTTTGACGAAGCAATCGATCACTACTGTCACGCGGCGGGAGGGCACGGCGGTCACGCACGCGCGTGCATCTCCGCCTCGCTCAACATCCTGTCTCTCTATGGGACGCGGCTGCCCTACAACATCTGCCGCAACTTTGAGTGGCAGGCGGCCCCGCTCTCACGCCCGCATTTCACCCCACCATTCATCGCCTCTGCCCGCTCGTGACAACACGGCGCTCCGGGCCGCGCAGGTGTGCGCTGCAAAGGGGCTCGTGCCGGGGCAGGGCGGCAAGGGGATAATTTTCTCGAAGGCGCCGAAGGACCTCGAGTTTGAGGGTTCGCCGAGGCTAGGACAGTGCTCGGGTTATAGCCAAGTCGACTGCGTCGGGGAGGACGGTTACGCCACAGACTCCATCTTCTTCCTCGAGGTGTGCCTCTTCAGCGCAATCTGCTCCAATCGGCAGGACCTGTTCCGCCTGAGATCTGGCGACGAGTGGGAGTGTGACCTCGATGAGGGTGCGTACTGGGACCTCATCGAGAAGCTGCGGACGCCGCCAGTGGGTGCTTGGCAGCGGCCCTAGCCCGTAGCCGGCACCGGCAGGGAGGAGTACTGGTTCTTGTGTGGAATCGTGCCCAAAAAAGAAAGAAGATGTCCAAGTGCTCTCCAAGAAGGAACAGCGCCACATTTATCATTTTTTTCGGAGTCTAAAGTCAGATCAATACTCCCCCATTGGCATTCAGTTTGCCGCTCGGTCTCGGAGCGCCGATGCCGCTCGGCGCGCGCGGCGTCGCAAAGGTGTAGGTCCAGTTTGCACCGTGCGGCCACGAGAACCAGTCGCGCCACGAGACACCAGCAATCGCTCGTGCCGGTGGGTGCCACACGGCGTGGTAGCCAGCTGCGATGGTGCCCGCGAGGACGGAGAGGGCAGCGGCGACAGGCGTGCAGTCGGCAATGCCCCACATGCGCAGCGAGAGCGCCAACGGGAATGCAAAGGACATGGCAATGACGAAAAACGCGAGCGGCATGACCTGCACGTGCCAGTTCGCGACTAGCCAGCCGGGCAGCTCTTCGTCGGTGAGCAGGTTTAGGCTCGCGGTCGTGACGGTCGAGCCGAGCGTCGACAGAGTGAGCAGCACCGTCGTCAGCATCCAGGCGATGAGGTCGGCTGCCCTGAGCGTGGCGCAGCCCGGGCCGGCATCGTCGCAGTCGATTGGGTCGAGGAGAGCGGCAGCAGACATGCCGAGGATCAGGGAAGAGGTCACGATGTTCGAGTCCGCCCACGCGTAGCTCTTCTCTCGCACGTTTTCGCCGTTGGTCAGATAGCGCCTCGTCAAGCACCAAGAGGGCGTGTTTGGCAGCGCTGGGCGCTCGTCGGCCTGCGCCGTGTCGCGTAGGCTCCTGAGAATGCGAACACGGTCGCCAACAGACGCGCCCGGGAGCAGCTCGCGCATCTCTGCGAGCGTGAGCTCGGCTGCCATGTCGGCGGTGACGCCCGCCGATCGCAGCGCACTGGCGTGTTGCGCGGCAGTGTCGCTGTCAAAGTGGCCGGTCAGGTACGCACCCACGCCCGCCGCTTGCTTCTTGCGCCTCAGCTTGCGCAGCATTGGAGGGCAATTCGACCGTGTAGAGGAAGCGTGGTCAAAGGCAAGAGCAGAGGGCACTGCCCCCCTCCCCGCCCGCACCCCGGTATGGGGTGTGGGGTTACACTTGGGAAAGGCTGCGGCCTCCCCGTCTTTGTAGCCTGGCGTTTGTGCCCCGTTTGTGCCGCGTCCCGTGCCCCCGAGTTCATTTTGTAAAAGGCTGCTTCGCAAAACGAGAAAACTGACTCGCGCTAATTTTCCATGCGAGCTTCCTGGCGTCTCCAGCGCTCACATGCCAAAAGGCACCTCGCAGCGCGCGAGACGTGACCGGAGCGGTACGCCTCGGCGCCGCGAGAGCAGCCGGTCGGCGTGGGCACCAAGCGCGCGGCCGCCGGGCGCCTTCGCACCGACAGGGGCGCCGCGGCAGCAGAGAGCACTCCACAATATCATACCGTTTTTATGGCGTGTAGCCCTGGCCAATAACAAGGCTGTCATCGCATTCGCCTTCCTGGGACCCAGCGCTGACTTCTGACTGTCGTTGCTGTCTCTCCCCCTTCTCGACTGTCTGTGCTTGTGCGTCTTGGGTCCGGGGATCTCTCATATATTACTAGGAGGTGCCAAAACCCCGGCCAGGAGACACACCCGGTGGGAGCCGACTGGTCGGGCGGCGAGCCGACTCACCTGCCGGATTTGCCGCTGGCCCGCCGGGCTGCAGGAGGGCCGCGAGAGGGCGCGGGGGGGCCTCGGGAGCCTCGGGGGCCTCGGGAGGGCCGCAACGCATGCCGTGGGCACCGCCCGCGGCATCCGGATGCAGGGACTCTCCGAATTCCGACCGCGGTATGTGATAGCAGCCGTCACACCAACGCTGTGAGCGTCTCACCACATGAGCGAGCAGAGCAATCGCCCCTTGGGCTGCGGCAACGCACACCGCCGACCATTCCGAACATCTGCCTGGCGACGCGTCCTCTTCTGATAGAATGCCATAGCACTCGGCTCTCGCGCCGTCTCGGCGTTGTGACGGTCTCGCGCACAACCACACACCAGTGACAAACGCGGGCCATCAGGGTCAGCGAGAGTGGAGGGTTTCGAGTCGAAGTCGGATTGGCGTGCCGATTCGGCATTGTTGGCACACGCAATGACATTTTTTTCAGCAACATTGCCTCATGATATGACTCGCGCTCTCTCACTCTCTATCGGCACCCGCACACAGAGAGAGACATCTCGGGGGCGCATGGGACACGAAAGACACAAAACGGCTGGGGCCACACGGCAGCACATCACACACCCATGGCGCGCCACGCGTAGCGCGCTGGGGGAGCGGGCGGCACAGCGCCGGGGCAGCGCCGAATCCGGTACCGCCTTGATGCGCCCGAGCCGAGCGGGAGAAAGCGAGTGCAGAACCACGCCTCGGGCGGGAAAACCCGGCCGCACCGCCGCCTCGACGGCACGGCCGGCACGGCGGACTCGCCGCGCGAAGCGAGGCGCCGGCGGGCGGCGGCGGCGGCGGAGCCGCGCCGCCGACGCCTAAAAAAAGTCCGCACACGCTTCGGTCGGCGAACCAGCCACGCGAAGAGCGACACCTACTACGGTGCCTCGGGCGGTAAAAAACACGGCCGCGCCGCCGCCGCGACGGCACGCCCGGCACGGTGGGCTCGCCGCGCGAAGCGAGGCGCCGGCGGGCGGCGGCGGCGGCGGAGCCGCGGCGCCGACGCCTAAAAAAAGTCCGCACACGCCTTGGGTCGGCGGCCGACCAGCCACGAAGAGCGACACCTACTACGGTGCCTCGGGCGGTAAAAAACACGGCCGCGCCGCCGCGACGACGGCACGGCCGGCACGGTGGGCTCGCCGCGCGAAGCGAGGCGCCGGCGGGCGGCGGCGGCGGCGGAGCCGCGCCGCCGACGCCTAAAAAAAGTCCGCACACGCCTTGGGTCGGCGGCCGACCAGCCACGCGGAACTACGTGCCTCGCGCGAAGGGGGGCACCGGCGGCGGGTTGCCGGAGGACGCCACAGCCGGCGCCTAAACACACAGGGATGGTGGTGGTGGCGACGGCGTTGGCGACGGCGTGAGGGTGGCCGGAGGCAAGGTCGGTGGAGGGGCAGGCGGCGGTGGCGTGGGTAGAGGAGGCGGGGTCGGTGGAGGGGCGGGTAGTGGTGGCGCGCCGTGCACGCGCGGAGGCGAGGGCGGTGGCACAGGGCCGTTGGTGGCACAGGGCC